TCTTATTGTAAGTTAATATCATGAATTATCAGAAGTTATAGATTAATGTACCACTGGATTCCGTTTCAGTGACTAAAGTAGTCATCGAGCTCTCCTGGTGACCTAGAGGTCAAATGATTCAATCCTTGGCATTGAAGTCATAAGTGTGTACGTAGCTGCTGAAGAGTCGCAAACTAAGATGTGAAACAGCTGTTCAGTAGTGCTGCTCGATTTGCAATAGTTGTCTCACATTGTAAGTCAATTCATAGTCAAACTTGAAATGAATTATAGAAATATTAAATGGATTTCTCTAAGTGAGAGAGGCCAAGTATTTTCATAATTTTTAATCGACTTTAGAGCATATTGAAATATATACATATCTATGAGATTGACAAAAAGATTTTTATCTAGTTGACTAATATTGATATGTATGAGGTCGTGTTATTGTTGTTTTTGTTGTTGTGAGTTTCGATTGAATAAGCTGTATAGAATTAGTTAAATGGTTTCCTGTTATCTAGATTGATTGTTGTGAAAAAAAAATATATTTATTTTCTAGTCAATATGATTTATTTGTGGATGTATGTCCAAAACCAAAGTTATGCATTGACATGCCTAAAAACGGACAATTCTTTTGTTTTTGCATTGATTTTATTACTGTAATCTTAGAACGTGTATTTAGATTTTGATTTGACTTTCAACCAATGGATTTCAGGTTCGAATCCCACTCCACTTACATCAGCCTTAACAATAATAGTGTGTGTGTCATCAGCTGTCACACAATAATAGTAAATGTGATTCATACCTTAGTACATGTAAGATCTGGCCTAGCCAACTCAGTTTTATGACTGGATCACGGATTGATATCAGTTAGAGAAGCATTCAAAACCAGGGAGTACTGGACAGCTGCCGTGTCATTCTAGTTTTTGTGGGGATCATCGGCAGTACACATCCACCACAGGGGTTTCGAACCCTGGACCTCCCAGTTAGAAAGCAAGCTCGTATATCATTCACTCACTGGGACCCGATTCAATGGCCAGCCCATGAATTCTAACTTCTACCAATTCGTGATTTAGCGTGACCACAACCATTGTCTGTCGTTGGTGGGACATCCATCCACACACGTAACATCTAATTGAACCTCACTGGTCACGACTTCTCACTAGAACTACTTGCAGGAAACTCCGTCCTGTAGCCAGTCATCACCACTGGCAAGCATCAGATTAATTTTCTATAGTTAGGTTTGTAAGGGTTAGTTATGTTTTTTTACGAGTTGTTCACAGTACTCTCTGGTTTTCAATGGTTCTCTAACTGATGATATCAATCCGTGATCAACTCGTAAAAGCATAACTAACCTTTACAAACCAAACCATAGAAAACTGAGTTCTAATTGATCAACATCCAAAAACTATTTGGTTCATACATTTATTCCCCCTTTTTATGATTTTGAATAAAGCAAAAACAACAGTTATTTGTGCAGAATAAGATGGTACCATCAGTGCTTATTTCGTCTGCTTCTCATCAGTTGCTTACAACCTAGAATCGTTATTAAGTTTATATATAGAAACAAATTTAACTTACACAAAGAGGTCATTTTTAAACGAAAAATCAATATATGCATACAATGGTAATAATAATAATTACTTCATTCCTAACAATAATAATCATACACTCTGGAATTTTTCGGTGTTGCGTAATCAAATGAGAGAGTGGATGAAAACATCCAGTTACCAGAGCAAAGAAAGAGTAATAACCGTTACTTTCTGAATACATAAATCGGGTTTCTGGCATTTGATAGAGAATTGCTTCAGTAAACTTTAGGAGAATTGGATTCTTTTGCCTATTGATAATTTTGAACAATTTTGCCAGGTCCACTTCATGACCTGTGTCAAGCATATGCCTGGCAATCGCACTGTTAAAATCATTTGTTCCCTTCAGACGTAGGCTTTTCTGTACATATTTAGAAAATCGGAGGTGTGCCCTACTTTCTCTTCTAATGTAACTGCTCCCGCAGATACATGTAAATTTGTGTACACAGTTAGAGTTAACATGAGAAGGGTATCTGTCGACTTATAATTGCACCAAAGAGCATGTTGTCCGATAGATGGGAACCAGCTTTCCTGCATGGTTGATTCTCACTAGTGACGTTCTCAATCTTCTGTTGATTATTGCTGCAATACTTTCACCCTTAAAATCGAGTTGATTGAAGACAAGCTTTTTTCCAATTGTGATTTGTTTACACTTAGAGCCTTCACATCTTCTATACATGTTAATGAAACTCTTCGGGTAACCGTTGTCTTTCAACATTTTTTCGAGAATCATAAATTCTTCCTCTAATTTATCTAAAGAGCTTATTCTTCTGACTAACTCTATAGAATAGAGTTTTTACTAGTGCTTGTTTATAAATTCCTTGTGTTAGTATATTAAAATTGTTTCTGTACATGGACTGGGTAATACGTTTAGACTGTAAACAATTTATGAGAAGCCAACGAAATAAGCACTGATAGTATCATTTTATTCTGTAAAAACTGTTGTTCTTGATCTATTCAAACTATTTGGTTGTTGGTGTCTAGCAGTGACGTCCACAATATACATTTCGTACTACTTGACACTTGTCAATTAGATGTACCTGCATACCCAGTGAGTTATATTATTTCCATTGATGAGAGTTGAACTCAATCAGTAGGCATCGTTTCAAAAGCTAAAGTGATATCCAGTCGATTACGAGAGAGGTATCTCGAGTGCAACTGGGGTATCACTTATCATTTATTTTTAAGTTGATCTATCAACAGGAAATAGAAATTCACTTGAAAGCAAATAGTAGCACTGTAATACCAGTTGCACACAAAAGTGATGGTGGTTAGCGGTGGGGGGCGTCGCGAGACCCCAGTGAGATAACACATTTTGATGTTTTAAAACGATGGGTGGTTCTGCAACCCATTATAGCCCTCTGATGAAAGCATCGAAACCACCGATCTCTGCGTGTTACTGTATAGCTGACAAAACTTTCTTGAGATATGCGCAGTTAAAAATTTCTCCAAAGACAGTAGCGAAAAGAAAATTATTCTTGCTCTAGTCTATGTGTAATTCTGTGGTGAGAGCTATCTGAAAACCAAAATTGTAGACTACAGTTTACGTCAATGTTTACGTCCCGAATCGGGGTCATGAGAAAAAAAACAATGACAAAGCTTAACCTTGAGGAACTCACCACTCAATCACAGCGGAATTAACGTGTGCAAGTACGACTCGCAGATATATGGCTTAACTTTGTAAGAAACAGTCACAAGCAGTAGAGAATAGCCTTCAGCAAGAAAACAACCAATCAGAAGACGCTGATTCTTCACTGGCAAAAATGTACATAAAAATCTATGAATATCTCCTGACTTTTTCAATAGATGATCTGTTGTCTGGCCCTTGTCTTCGATCGTTACAGTTCTACTGAGGAATAATAACATCAGAAATTAAAGACTACTTCAACAGTGCCGTTTGACAGCTATACAGTCAGGGTAAATTTTTAATTATTAAACAAGTAATGTAGAACAAAATTAGTTAATTAAAATTCAACTTGAAGAAGTACCTTAAAGTCAAGTAGAATATATTCCTGACAAGGTGGAATCGAAAGCTCTATCGAGAAGAATCATACGCCAACGCTTCCCACATACAGTTCAAGGTTGAAATGACTTTGAATCAGGCAAACAAAATCACAGAGTAAAACAGCACATTATCAATTTTACACACATTCACGAAGAGAAGCATTGCAATTAGAGATTAAACAGAAACACAGAAATGAATAATTAGGATTAAATCAACATATAATATGCATATGTCAGTGTAATACAATAATATACAGTCAAGGAGAAAAGGGGGTTAATAATCCAAACCAAATAACTATAAATATTGTGATTAGGTCGTTCAGGATGGATTTTCCAAATAGATATTCCGTTACACTAGGTTCGAATCTCACTGGGAACTCCATCACTACCTGGGAATGCAGGAACATCCATCTGACGAGTCCTAAATATATCAAACACGCACCACACACATTCTAGATTCCAGTGCTAGTCATCGTCAATCAAGTAACACTATGTCGGTGTAGGTGTATGTACTATAAGGAGCTGACGTTTCACGTAAAACTGAGCATTTCAGTCCTGACTTAAAGCCTACCGGGTTTTCTTAGGTTTGTTTCTGTAGAATACCATTTAGTCTGCTCACGATTATTGAAATTAGAACAATAGATGCTACATTAATTTTCAGTTATTGGTTTTGTAGGGATTTTTGTTTGATTTCATGGAGGATTTCATCATGAGCTGACACCAGTTAGGGAAACACTGAAAAACCTGGGAGTATCGGACACCTATTTCGTTATAGTTTGGGACTCTTCATCAGTACGCGCCCACCGGGGTTCGAACCCAGGACTTTCTGGTTACAAGGCGAGCTCGTAAAGGATTGAACCACTGGAACCCGAGCGTAGTAACCAGATGGTCCTGGGTTCGAACCCCGGTGGGTGTGTACTTCTGAGGAGTCCCAAACTAGGACGAAATAGCTGTCCAGTACTCCAAGGTTTTCCAGTGGTTCAGCTCATGATGAAATCTTCCATGCACTACTATATTAGTCGAACTTATTCGTGTATAATTGTCATCACAGGAAGACTTGTCGCCCTTCTTATTACCAGTGACATACATACAAGTTTGACTGAACTGTCGTTGATTCCCAGACATTTCCTAATATCTTAGTTAATTCATTGTTCAGTTTGTCACCACCACCGTTAAACATCTCTGGAATCGTTCCGTCAGCTCCTGCCGCTTTCCATCTCTCCATATTAGAGAGGTAACCTGTGTAACCTGAGTTACGGAGATAGGAGCGATATCTGTATTCCATTCTCATGGATATTGGATACTAGACAAGTTTAATATGTTGCGATATGCCGTATACAAGTATTTTTCTTTAGTTATAATAATAGTAACAGTATTCATTTGTCGCCTGCTCCTCCTCACTTATTTTCTCTCTCATTTTCTATTCAAAAGGATTCAAAACTAGCTATATTCGGTGATGTCAGCTTATTCGAAGAGTCTATTCTAGCTATAACGCATAATTCTTATGATCCAAATCAAATACCTGATGAAATAGAAGAAGCAATAGACTATGCAGTTGGTCATGTCACTTCTTCTAGCCTTACATCATCTGATCGTAAATACTCAACCTCAGCATTTGGCGGCGGTGGTTGTAGTAGTCGATCGGAATCACGGTGTACACTACGATCAACTAAACAACAACAACATTCTGGGATTGGTAGTAGTAGTAGTACTACAGGAAGTGGATTGGACATTTCTGCTCAACATAATAATCATTACTCGAGTACTGGAAGTGGCCTATCTTGTCATGCCTCAGAATTAAGTCTTCAATCGTCTATATCTGTGTCAACGAATAGTTCATGGAATAATAATAATAATATCGGCAGTGGCAATAGCAATGGTAATAGTAATACTGCTAGTTACAATAATCACTCACAGTCTACAATACATGCATCTAATCCACATTGTGATGCTTTAAACTCTACTAATATAAACAATACAGTAAGTGATTTTGTTTTTAAAAAATTAATTTTTATGTATTTTCCCGTTGATTATTCATTATGTTCAACAGAAATATTCAATTCGTCTGTACAGGCGTTTCAGAAATGCCTCTGGATTAATATGATGTTATTTTGCTTGATAATAACTACCAGTAGAATCCAGGATGTGAAGTTCGTCCTGCTTATGGGACTCATCATCTGGAAATATACCTTCGTTCCCAAATGAAGGAGTGATAGTGGTGTTGCTCCACAGCCAGTGCCGATTCTTGAGAGCTTCACTGGAGCGAGTCCCAAATAGAAGGACTAAAGGCGTATCTACTGCATTCTACTGCCTACTCATCATTAACTAAAGCATTGATTCCTCTTCTTTATACGGTGTGGTACATTTAGTAGTTACTATTAGTTCACTTCTCTACATATCCTCTCTGTGTCTCTGTCTTTACTTTTTGATTAGTAATAGTTACAATTCTCTACCAAGCAACTGGAAATCTCTAGACTCCCTTTGTCCTGTAGATTAATGAGATATAAGTGAGTGGGCTTTTCCTCCATTCCTTTGTATTTCAACTTGCACGCATGGGACTTCACGTTTTAAGATTTGAGGTTTCAGCAGTGATGGTGTTGTTTTCAAACGCAGACTCGCTCACGACACAACCCTCCCTCTTCACCTGACTGACTGTCAGTTAGTGAATCACGGAAGGTTTAGGATTGTGTGTGTATATGTGTTGACCGACAGTCGAACTCGGACAATGTGTAAGTGGTTGACAAGCGAGTCAGTAAGTGAAACAGTTTACTAGTTCATCATCATGTTTGCAAAAATGACACGCCGACCAGTGTACCTCTAATCTGAAGATGTTACTTATGTTAAAACAAATGGCTTCTGGAGTTCTTCATTGATTCACTGGTTCTTTCAACTTGGTTGACCTGAATTTTCCACACGGAGATTCGCACAAATTACATCAGCAATTCGTATTCGTACATTTCGTACACAGAAACTGGGAAGAAAATTAAAGGGACACTAGACATATTACCAACAGTCTCCATCTATTGGTTATCAGCGTCTTTAGAGCATCGTCGAGGTCTTCTACACCTCCCTCCTTGGCTTAAAATCAAAAGGTGAATTAACTCCACGCCTTACTCTTTGACAACCTACTTCTATGTATGTCAGCTAACCTGACTTGTCGAAGGAGTTTCTGTCTCGACATGCGTAATGCATGTCCAAACTATCTTGTGGGATTAACCTTCTCTTTTTACCTAACATTCTAAATATAATTTCAATAAAGCTGACCGCATCATGCTATTTAATATAAGAGAGAGAGAGAGAGAGAATAGGAGCACCTTATTTCTAATGACGACTAATCTCTTCATGTCTCCGACTTTTAGAGACCTTGTCTGTGACAGCCGTATAAGAGGACGAAGCAAACCGTTGTTCAGCACGCCTGTTTTCTTGTTGACTAACTATAAATTTTTCAGTGGTAAATTATCCTTTGGCTTTCTGGAATTCTTGGGTACTATTGTTGTCGTTGTTGTTGCGTATTTCCAATATTCCGCATTTCTCTCGTTTTCTTCAAAATTAAACAAAAATTTCTGTTTATCTTTCATGAATTTGTTTACTTTACTTTCGTGTTTCATATTTTCACTGGCAACTGCTCTCTCTGTCTCTCTCACACACACACAAGCACACGCACACGGAGAGACGTGCATACACTCTCACTTTTGTATTTGTTTTGAATGCATATAAGTTGATGATCCTAAACATATACGACTCCGGTAACTGATAATCTGTGTGGGGTTACCTTTGTGTAACAGTATGTATGTATGCATGTATGTATATATTGTTTACAATTATCTGTATTCATGTAAACACGGAATGATTTCCAAACATGAACTGTTTACTTTAATTTTTATTTAAAAATAAATAAGTAAATAATTACTTAATAATAATACTAGTAACAATAATCCAGAACCGGGTATCACTCCATAAAGTCTTTTGCTGTTGGTTTTTAAGCGACCTACCTAAGAAGGTGTATAGACCTCCTAGTTTGGTTCGATTCCTCAGGAAGCCAAGAAACAATGAATTTGAACTGTCGGCGATACGAATCTTACTTCGTTTATATTATTATTATTATTATTATCCCTTTAGGTTCCGAGTAAAACATAGGGCTTCAGCAACACATCTCCACCTTGTTTTTATGCTATCCTCTTCAGCTGGGTCCAAGAGTGCCCAAACTCTCTCATCTCTTCCTCACACGATCTCCTCCATGTCATCCTTGCAATGTCGACCCATTCGTCGCTTCCCATTTGGATTCCACTGGATGTATTGTATTACCTGGTGCGCGATGTCATTTGACGGCCTCAATGTATATCCGATCCTTATCCATTTTCTCCTACATATTTGTTGAGCGATCGACTCTTGGTTGGTTTGTTCTCAGCCAGATTTCCTTGTTACTAATTCTTTCTGGCCGGCTATTTGTTAATCAGTATGGAGCGAGCGAAGGCAGCTGTTGATAAAAGTCTGCAGTAGCCTGTTGGAAATCCTTTCCACCACAGATTATGGAATATTATGGGAGAGAATAAAATAATTACAGTTACCAGGATAGTGAGAGAGAATAAGTCAAGCTATCTTTCTGTATACAAAAGTTGGGTCAGTGTCTTTTGATAGCAATAGCTTCTGCGATCCGAAGTAACCATGGTTTTCTTTGTCTGTTGATTATTTTGAAAGCCTAACCAATTTCAACTGTATGTCGCGTGTCAATTAGGTATCTGGTAATTGTAGTTGAGAACACTTTTTTACTGCCTTTCATAGGGGGAGACTTAGGGATATGCTGAGAAAATCTGGTAGACGTTCTCCCGTAAGTCTTTTCTGTGTGTTTGCTACCTCAAGTGAAGGTGAATTGGTAAGTGCAGTTGGAGTTGATTAATTTAACGAGCATACTGTGTTGTAAAATGGAATAAGTCTACTAGAAAATATTCTCAGGAATGCTGTAACTAATAATTTGTTTTGGTTTAGGATGTACATAGTTGAAGAGAATCCACGAAACTGAGTTAGATAGGTATTTAGAATCTGGTAGCCATATACCGTTCTGTAAGTCATACTTATTATGTCAGAGTTGGCAATACCCCCCTCTTAACTTGCTAAGGCTCATATACGTGAAGTGAGATGCAGACCCCTGGGACCAAATGGCTAAGAAACTCATTATTTCAGCCAATGGGCTAATGTCTCCATTTGCGAAAGTAGGAGGGGAGGTAGGATGCATCGTTTGTGTTAAAGCCTTAGATCACGTTTGGAACATATACTGAGTAAATCTACGAAATACAGTTCACAATGATGAAAAAGAGAAGACGTTCAGCGAAGAGACTCTTTTCGGCGAATTCATTCACATAGCTGTACAATCGCATTTATATATAATTGTTAGTTTGTGTGTGCACATGAGGTTTGTCAAGTTTAGATAATTAATTAGGTAATACAAGAATGATCTAATATAGAAACAAGGTTAATTGGACAGCAACTAAAGTAAGATTGAGTTGGTAAGTTGAATGACATAATATAATTGACTAAAATGTTTCAACCTAGGTCAGGAGGATAGCAACAGAGGTAATTACGGGTAGAGACTAAGTAGAAGTGAGGTAGAGAATGATGCCATTTAAATTAGGACTAAATTTGAGCAAATAAATTGGGTAACGCAACATAAATTACTAGAAATTGAGCGTTGGTCAAGTCAGTAACAGTGGTAGTGAGGTGCAGAAATTAAATCGAGTGGGGGTAGAGAACAAGAAAGTTGAAAATGTAAAATATTACAATTGAGAAGACAAAATAATACTAATGAAGAGACAGAAAGAAATAGAATTTACCCTTCGGGTATTAAAACCGATTACGTCCATTGCAGGTGTAGTGACTGAGCGAACTTCTTCTGTATGCAGAGTTCAGTACTTAGCAAGTGATTTGCCATTGCTTCTGTAGTCTGAAAAGTTTGACTCGTACATTTTCAGGAAGACTGCTTCGTATTCTGTAGACTACTTTGAAGTTCGATTGGAGTGTAGCTTGGTGTCCGGAATCCAACAGATGTTCTAAGATATGGAGCTGCGGGGGCACCGTTTTTCTCCTTTGTAAAACCATGCGGGTGGGTGTGTGGTGATGTTTGTAAAGCGAACGCCAGGTACGGCCGACATACCTGGCTCCACACGAGCAGGTGAACTGGTAGATACACACTGATGTACACAATTAATCTTATCTGCTTTAATTGATAAATATATACTATGTTTTTCCAACTAGAAACACTATTCACATTACTGAGTAGTAGTCAATAGGCTTTCTTGAGCTTTCGAGTTCTCTGTTACCCCATACTTCAGCATATTCATCTGGGTGTGATGTCATCATACATTAATTAATATAAGTAGGAGACATAATGCAATAAATGTGAAAACGAAATTCTAACTCTAATCTTCTTTTGTTTTTTGTTTCTGACTGACTAGTCGCTTGTGTGTGTGTGTGCGTGTGTGTTTATTGGTAAGCGAGTGATTGATGTGTTCATTATGCCTTAACAACTTCCTTCTGAATGCTATTCACATTCACACTGATTATATAACTAATAAAAATCATTAATCTCATTGTTTAAATGTCGTCCAATAAATTGTTTCATGTATTATTACAATTATTAGACATTTCCTGATATTACTTAATCCGATTTCTCTATCGTATTACTTACATTTATATGAATGAGATATTTAGTAATAAACAGACAAAGAAACAAGGAAACAGCTGTTGTAACTCATGCGAAATGTTATTCCATCATTCTACCTTTTTTTTGTCTTCATTCCTCTACATTCCGAGTGGAACATAGGGCCTTATGCTGCAGCTTTGAAGTTTCAGTAACTGTGGGGTGTATTATTCTTGTTTTTACGGGTTGAGGTTGCTCTAGCTAGCCTCATTATGCCCAACCTCTTCCCTCTTTACCGCTATTATTACCGGCTCGGTGAGGTGAAGGAGTGCGTCGATGTCCTGGA